AGAAGCAGGAAAGAAACACAAGAGTAAAACTTTTGGCTGCACTGACCAAAGTCTAAATCTATGCCTTGCTTACCTCCTTCCACTGGCTGTCCAAGGAAATGTCGTCACACAGGGCCCAAGGAGGTCCCCAAAGCAGAGATGGGGAACCTTGACTCAATCAACCCATGGTGAATGTTGTAGGCTTGCTGACTCCTGTCACAGAAAAAGCATATTAGAAGCCCATCAGTGATTTATTAAGGCAGACTATTAAAGCACACACATAAAGACATGGAGTGTGGGCCCTCAAGAGGAAGAGAAGTACTTTGTGACCTTGAGCTGGGTATAGAGATGGAGGTTACACGTTGTTCAAATAATGAGTTAAGTAGGATATACAGTCTAGTGTCTGTAGGGTTTGGACAATTTTGTAAAATGCAAAGAATTTCCAGTGTTTAATGCTGATAGGCCTACTTATATATGCCCTCTTCATAGGGCATCCTGTCTTGAGGATGGACATTGGTAGGCAGGAGTACAATTTACAATGAAATGTGTAAGTCCAGAGCCTAGTTAATAGGCTTAGTATAGATAAGGCCCTTAGAAATTTTTTCTGGAAGAAAAAAAGTTTCAGTATCTTTTATGCCCTAAAGCTACAGGGTTTTTTGTTTTTGTTTTTGCTTTTTGTATTTTAGGGAAGGGTCTACAGGGTGTTCAGGGTCTCACTATAACATTGGACTCCTAGTGATCTGCCTGTTTACAGCCTCCCAAGAGCTGAGATTACACACCTGCACCACCATGCCCAGTCTCAATCGCTGGCTCAGCGCACCCTGGGAAGCGAGGCCAGCATGACAGGCCCAGGGATTGAACCCCCAGCCCCTGTGCCTGCTTGCAGTGACTTTAATCTGCTGAGCTATTTGGCTGACCCTTACAGTTTTTCTTAAACTACAAACTTAGTAGTACAGATATTCTTGCCTCATTTTTCCTTATTTTATTTTTTCTATCTTACTCAGATATGGTGAAGAATGTAAAACAACTGTTACCTATCCAGTTGTGTGTGGTCAGTGATGCTCCCTACACCAACTGAGGCTGTTTTACCCTATTCAGTGTAGCTCTGATATGCTAGGGAACAACCTAGCTACTCGCAGTGGGATGTTTGCTTTGGAACAAAGGTGAGTTATACTTCTTACATGTTGTGATCTAAGTGGTCTCAACCTTCTAGAAAGGATGAAGAGAATACTATTGAAACATGGATAACTCCAGCCTCATCCAAACACATGGAATGTTCTGTTGGCTTTATTACTGAAATAAAAGCAAATAAGTACTAAAAGAACTGGCATATTTAGAAAGAAAAATGATAAAACAGAAGAGCCCTAAGACAGTAGAACTCCATCTTTCTTGGCATAGGCAGAAAGTTAGTTGCCTAATGCATTTGAGAGATAAGAAGTATCTATAAAAAAAACCTGACTCCGTCAGTTTACTGGATTAAGGGCGAAGTTATAACAAGCAACTTAAACATTGATTAAATTAACTGGTATTTACGTGGGCTAAGAGACCATAGAACATTTTTATAGAACTTCTCCTGTTCACTGTTCTCAATAATTCCATCATATAGTTGTCAGCATCCTCACTTTATAGGTAAAACAAAGGAGGCTAAAGAATTGAACTTGGGACTAGAGAAATAGCTCAGCAGCATAAGTGCCTGCCTGAGTTTGATCTCCAGAAATAAAAAGAATTTAACTTAAGATCTCACAAATGGTAAATGATGAAGCTGGACTTGAAGACAAGAAACTTAAAGAAAAAAAATCAAAGTCTAACTTATGAGAGTATATTCTCTAGCCTTTTCCCTCTCTCTTTTTTTTTTTTTTTCTTTTGTATTGTTTCTTCACCAGAAAGATAGGTTCTCTAAAAAACTTATTTACTTTTTTGGTACTTGTGGAGGCTAAAGAGATAGAAAAAGAGTTAATCTATGGTCACAGTACAGCTGTAGTAAATGTGCCTGTCCCGGTTCTCTGCACCAGCATGTACAGAACATCTTGGCCTATAAAATGTAAAGAGTAGGAACTGTGTTATGGATTTCTTTATCTTTTTATGCACACAAGTGAGTTCAGGTATCTATGGTAGTTAAGATGCTTATTGACAATTTTCTGAAGAAGTTACTTTGAAATTGCAAAATACCTTCTCAGTTCTTTTCAGATGGTTAGTATTCTCTTAGCAACCTTAATCATATAAGAAACTTAGGACATTGCTATATGTTTATCAATAAAACTTTGAAAAGAAAAAAAAAGAACTATAAAAAAAAGAAACTTAGGAAACAAATTTACAAAAGCTCTAATATTAAAGTTTGTGTTTGATTTACTTCATTTAACATTAGTGGTCTAAGAACTCAAAAAATTGATTTCAGCATTAAATACTGAATCAAAAAAGGCAAGTGAAATGAACAGACATTTCACAGAACAATTACAAATGGCCAGTAAATACAGAAAGAAATATTCAACATCACTGGTCATTATACAAACGCAAATTAAAATAATACTGAGATTGCATCTTGCTGAACCATTAAGAAATCAAATAATAAGTGCTAACAAGCCTGCATGGGAGTGCTGTGGATATAGCTCAGTGCACAAGCAATTCCCAGTGCCAAAAAATAATTAAAAAATTAAAATAAATACTACAAGCGAAAGTAGTCATCTTAACTTGTTGGTGGGACTATAAACTAGTACAACCACTGTGGAAATCTGTAAAGCAATTCCACAAAAACTAAAACTAGAAATTCCATTTGAGCTAGCTATTCCCTCTCCAGGTACCTTCACAAAAGTGTTAAGGATGTCACATTGCAGTGATACATACATTCTCATGTTTACAGATACACAATTCATCATACCTAAATCTTGGAGTGGGGCTTTATGTCCAACAGCAGAAGACTGGATAACGAAAATGTGCTGTCTACACAAAGTAGAGTGCTACTCTGCCATCATGTCTACTTTATTGCTTGTTTTTTCTCAGTTCACATATATATACTTGGTCTCAGGTATTGTTCAGATTTATCATATTTGCATCAAAGATTCTAAGCAATAACCTAGAAAAACTCAGCTGCTGAGTTGGGTGATAACCATGTGCTCAAAGAGCATGGCTGTGGAGCAGTGGCAAATAGCTTGTTTGCTTCACACAGCAGATGAGTTGATGCTCAGTAACGGGGTAATCTCTTGAGCCATGACTCCATGTGGTCAAGTAAGATTGCAGTCTCTACTCCCTAAAGCTTCAGGATCAACACACAGAATTGTGCAGTGCTGTCAGATAAAATAAATCCAAAGGTTCCAGGCTTAACTTTGTAGTAACCTAAGCCCTTTCTAATGTCTCTACTTCTTGTTATCCATCTTACGTTTCGACTGTAATGACAGGTAAACCTTGGACTTCAGAAGGCCGAAGTGAGGACCAGTGGGCTGCGGGTGGTTCAGGGGGGACATTCTGAAATTCAACAGAACTAGATAAGGCTAGTAGACAGGGCTCCTGTATTTAAAAAGGACCTGCCTTACAGCCTAGGAGGTTAAGGCGTGGTCTGGAATCCAATCACAGCCTGGGAAGTCACTCAAGGAGGGAGTCTCTGAAGTCAGTCCCCAAGGCTCTGGCATAAGGAGACGCGTCCACGCCCCAGCTCGCAGTCTCGGGCTCCTCCTAGGCCTCAGGCATCCCAAGGTCTTTGGGGATTTCCCACAGCTCCAGTTGCGCCACATTGCCGGCAGTTGCTCGCAGCTTTCTGGCCGGCGCGAAGCACCCTGGGATAACCTCCGCAGCTGGGAGAGCCTGCGACCCTGTGGGGCACAGACCGGAAGTGCACTCTGCCAGCCCCGCCCCTGCCAGCCAAAGCCGGAAGTTGGGCGTCCAGGGCCCCGTCGTCCCCCTGGCGGGCCTCCGCGAGCGCAATGCTCTGTGGTGCCCCAGCCCTCCTCAGGGCCTGCGTAGCGCCCACCGCTGCCCTGGCCGCGGCCCTGCTCGCCACGCTTGCGCGCTGCGCGCTCCTGGAGCCAGGGGACGCGGTGACCTCGGCTCTCAGCCCCTACTTTGGCACAAAGACTCGCTACGAGGATGTCAACCCCCGGCTGCTGTCGCACCCCGAGTCGCCGCAGAGGGACCCGGAGCTGCTGGCGGGGAGCTGCACCCCCGTGCAGCTGGTCGCCCTCATCCGCCACGGCACGCGCTACCCCACTGCCAAGCAGATCCACAAGCTGAGGAGGCTGCACGAGCTGCTGCAGGACCGCGGACCGGGCAGGGCTGACCCTCGCGGCCTGGGGGACGCGCTTACCGACTGGCCGCTGTGGTACGCGGACTGGATGGACGGGCAGCTGGTGGAGAAGGGACAGCAGGACATGCGACAGCTAGCGCTGCGTCTGGCTTCCCTCTTCCCGCCCCTCTTCCCCCGCCAGAACTACAGCCGCCTGAGGCTGGTCACGAGCTCCAAGCCCCGCTGCGTGGACAGTGGCGCCGCCTTCCTCCAGGGGCTGTGGCAGCACTACCATCCGGGGCTGAGGCCGCCCGACATCGCAGGTGATCGCAGATCCACAGCCCTCTCTCCCACCCCCAGCACTGGACTTCTCTTACGTCCAGACTCCTCTCTTTCCTCTGTTCCTGATCTAAAATCTTCCCAGCGACCCCTTTGCTGGGCACGGGTGTTGTGGACTTGGCTCTTTCTCTTGTGTTCGTATCTATGTTCATGCAATTCTTCAGCAGGTAGGGACTTAGCACTTTCTACACGCCAGGTGCTGTAGCAGAGGCTGGTGATCCAGCAGGAAGAGGCAGAGGAGATCTCTCCCACTTCCAATGGAATTGCCTCCTCGGAGCCCTACCCATTGCCTATTCGCGCCCTGGAACATGCTCTTACAGATGAGCACACTTTAAATTCATATATATTATACTTGTTTGATATTTGTTGTTATATATATTCTACAAAAAGTTTCCCCTGGGATATAGCTATATTCATGCAAAGACATCAAATGTCATTGATTCAAGAATGAAGTAGAGCACGCTGGTGTTTTTGAGACAGACACTCCATGTAGTACAGGCTGGTGTTGAACTTGGTTGCACCACCACATCCAGCTGTGGGGACACTTTTGAGAGTCCCACTCTAGATCTTTCTTCCAAGTGTTGTTTCTGATACTCCTTGTTTTGTTGTCTTTCTGGTTTTCCTCATCATCTTTTCAAGGTATGGTTCTAGACTTTTAGGAAGCGTCTCTGAAGCCTTTAATATGCTCTCGGCTTTCCCCCTTTCTTTTGTTCTTGTGTTTTCCACCGAGTTTCATAGTAGCTGTGGTCCATGGTTCCACACAGTATCTTACCCATGTATTCCTTGAATTATACCTTTTGAAGTTTTAGAGATCCAGTGGGATCCTTTTTATTTCACAAGTGAACAAGCTGAATCTGGTTGTTTGCCTCCTCGCTTGTCCTTCAGTTTAAGGCCTAGTCAGGCCAAGAATCCAGTCCCTCTCTTTTTCCAGGATGATGTTTCTTCCTTTAGAAAAATCTTTTAATGGTCACAGATAAGAATAGCAAACACTGGATACCTGTTATATGCCAGGCATGTCTCCCACTTACTTTTAAGAAAATCTTACAACTGCTCTTTGAAGTTAGTACTGAGTTTTCCTCCTATTCTCACAGAGGAGGAAATTGAAATACAAAAATACCAAATAATTTTCTAATTTTCATATAGCTAGCAATGGACATGAGACATTCAATCCTTACCTTGTTCTCCTATCCACTGTAACATTGTTTATAGGACAAGATTAAGAGAGGAAAGAGCATCATTTACTTGCACAGCCCAACTGACAAACAAATCATTCAAAGTAGGCTGCTTTGTCATATTTTCCATTGTACTTAAAACAATCTGTCATGGTTTTCTCAGTGGACTCTGTTGTCTTCTTATTGCATTGTGCCTAACTCGGTTACCTGACTTTTGTTGGATCACATATTAACTTGAGCTTTTTAATTACAGCTATACTTTTTCCATTAGGTGGAGTGAAAATATTTCATAAATCTCTTAAATTAATTGAAGGTCAAAAGCAGAGCATATTTTAAAATAACAGCCTATATGAAGTATATATACTATATATGTATACTGTATATGTACTATATAAGACTTCCTAGGATGAAAGACTTACGGTCCTCAGATTACATTGTCATTTGCCTCAGAGTAGGAAGACAGGGATCAAGAAGTTCATGATGAAGCCAGGGATCAAGATAATTCAGAATAAATTCTTCCCTGCCCCAGCCCCTATTTTCAGTCTCAGAGATTAAACCCTTTGTGTAGCCACTTTGTCATCATTTGTAGACAATTGTTTTGTCTATTGTGTACATCTGGGCTTTTGCAGGAAACCACCGAATTAGATTTTTTGTTTTTATAGAATCGAACAATGCCTCTGTTTACATATAAAGAGCAGCAATAGTATGTAATAAAGGTAGACTATCCAGAGCCACATGAGAAATTGTGTTTTGAGGACACAGAAAAAGACTGCAACCTTCCCTTTTGTCTTCCTAGTCAAGATACTTCCCTAACAACTAGAACTCAGTTAAATTAAAGTGGGTAACAATTATCTGTACCAGGAAACATATTTATACATCTATCTACGTATTTGCATAGGCATCCAAAGCAAAATGATGTAACTATATTCTCATATTTGATATACAGAAATGATTCCTGGTCTTTTTATAATGAACTATTGGAGAACTAATGGTGGAGATGTTTTTAATATGATGAAAAAAGTTTAAAAGACATCCTAATAGTTGACACATGATTTGAATGCTTTTTCACTATATGTGTGCATGGGAAATAATGTAGCTGCCGAAATTGTAAATGAAAGTTATTTGGGAGCTCAGTTGGCAGCTAAGCCAGATCTGAAGCACCTAGCACAATGAAGCAAGCACAGTGAAACTTGAAACAATGTGCTTTGTGCTGTTGTCAGTAGTTTTTGTGGAAAACAAAACCTACTGTAAAATGGCAGAGATTTGGAAAGTTAATGGAAACACTAACATGCTCTTTGACTCTGGTTTTGAGTGGAGAAACAGGCCTAGTCTGCTTGATTGTTTCTTTGTACTGACAAACTTTACTAATTTTTAGTGTGCTTTGAAAAGTTTTTTTGTGCCTGATAAAACAATAGATATTATCACAGTTTTCCAGTTTTGGTGATTTCCCTAATTATTTTTGTTTCCTATTAAAACTATTTACTTCATTGTCTAGCATTTATTTACTTCATTGTCTAGCATTGATTTAGCACACCTATTTTCAATCCTTTCTGGGTTTTTGATCTTTTTTTAAAACAAGTCCTGTCCTGCGTTATGATCATTACAGATGCAGGACAGTTCAACCCTTTGCCTTTCTGTTAAGTATGTGCTATTGAAGATGTGGCAATTCCTACTTCACTAGAGTTCCTTTTTCATACTTGAATCAATTTTTCAGTAATGTGAAATTGTCTTGTCAGTGAATTACGTGTATAATTTACATATATAATTCCTTTCAGAAATGGAATGTGGACCTCCAAGTGTTAATGACAAACTAATGAGGTTCTTTGATCATTGTGAGAAGTTTTTAACTGAAGTGGAAAGGAATGCTACAGCGCTTCATCATGTGGAAGTCTTCAAAACTGGACCAGAAATGCAGAGCACTTTAAACAAAGTTGCGGCTGCTTTGCAAGTGCCAGTGAATGATTTCAATGCAGGTAATATGTCTCTTATCTTTCATTTGAGCTTTGTTTTAAATAATTTTGAACAGTGAACATGAAATGTTAAAAGGAACATGTAGTTACTCCTTTTTAAGACCCACAGCCCCAGGACTCTGGTAGGCTAAGGTAAGCGTTTCATAAGTTTGAGCCCAGCCTGAGCAATTTTAATGAGACCCTGTCTCAAAATAATAAGTAAATAGGGCTTAGGCCCTGGCTTCAATCCCCAGTACCACCAAAACAAAGCCTACATTTGAATTTACATTAAGAAAATAATATATTTGGAAGGTCAAGAAAAATTATATTCACAATGCTTGCTGTTTTTAGATTCAAGTTCTTCTTTGAGTGATTCAAATAATGTATAAGATTCTTGGTATATATTGAAATTTTTTCAGAATAGAAATGTAAAAACCTCAATTCTAAATATTACTTATAAATAAAAATTATCTCTCCATAAAGTAATACAAATAGAAAAATCATGTAAATTAGCTTTTGAAACAATTCAATAGTACGTATTTATGTGTGAGAGTTAAGTCTTAGAAAATGGGAAGCAAAGTCCTGAGGCTTTTAGGCACAGATATGCTACAAACATGAGTCATCATATCTCTTGTAATTTATTGCATTGACTAAGGTGATGTTTTTGGAAGTAAAGAGGACATAAGTAATGCTTTAATTGGAAAAGTAAATAGCAGAGCATATGGTTACCTAGATTTGGGAAATTCTGAAAATAAGCTTTTTTCTCTTTTCTAAGAACTTATAATCTAGAACAGATGCTGACACATTAAAATACACACAAATATTGTAGATTTGATTCATAAATTTCCAAAAGACTGCAAAGAGATATTAGTGGGAGGAATTGATTACAGTGTGTCAGTTATGGAACCTGTATTTTTTTTTTTTTTTTTGCGGAACCAGGGATTGAGCTCAGGCCCTTGTGCTTGCCAGGGAAGCGCTTATTCCACTGAGGCATCTCCCCGGCCCCGGAATCTGTATGTTTTTATAAGGAAATATCCTTTTATTTAAAAAATGAAGATAACTAGACTAGTATTACATATTGAGTATTTTTCTCTTTTCGAAAATCAGCTATTCATCTGGGCTACCCATGGGGCTTTAAAAATTACTTTGTTGGCAAATAATTTAAATATGTAAATCAAAACTAATATACTGAACACTATACATTCAGCTTAGTTTTATGAAATTTTAACGTTATACTTGTGACAGTGGCTTTAAGTAAATTGAGGCCTATTGGTCCTTTTCCGAAATCTCAGTCTTTTCTTTTGTTCTCCAGATGCAACCATTGCTATAAGCCAAGCACTTAAATCCTCCCATTCCAGTTTTTATGTGTTTTGTACACAGGATATTCCTTAGGGTATTTTAAATTTTTTAACAGTAGTATCAAAGTATATAGGAGTGTGAAATTTGATTTTGTATTTTTTATTTTTGTATGTGTAATTCTAGTCATAGATTTTATTTATTTATTTATTTTGATGGTACTTGGGGCTGAATCCAGGTTTTGAGCATGCTGGGAAAGAACTTTGTCACTGAACTATAACTTCATTCTAGTCTCACTTCGTAAACTTACACTAGAATTTCATTACATACAGCCATTATTCTGTTAGTAGGTATTTATATTGAGAGAAACTTTTTTTTAAAGTATTTTTATTCTCTTAAATTGCCAAGGATTATTTTTCTTTTCTTTTAATAGTAGAATAGCAGAGCAACTTTTTTTTTTTTTTTTTAAGGCAATAGAAGCATAAATTGTTGAAATCATAAATTTTGGAATTTGGCTGTTTGTATTTGAATTTTGACTCTCATGAACTATAATTTTAGGCAAATTCTTAATATCTATGCTAGCGTTTTCCTCTCTGTTATATGGGTGTAGCATTTATACTTGCCTGAGAAGATTATTGTAAAAATGATGGGAGATTAATTGATGGAAAACATTTAGTGTAATACTTGGCACTGTAACTGGTCCATAAAGGTTTTTGCTGTTTAATCTTTCTTTCTCTCCTATTCTCTCCCTCATTCTTTTTCTTTCTCTCACTCTTCCTCTCCCCCTTTCTCTCTCTCTCTCTGTCTCTCTCTCTCTCTCTTTCTCATCAGTTAATTTTAGGCCCTACTTTTTCATGGGAAAAAAACCAAACTGGCAAAATTAAAGAAATACAAAAGTAATGGAGGCAACCCCTACAGTGATTTCTTTTCTCCTTGGTGTTAGATGTCACTTACTTCTCGATTAGAGAGCAATATTTTTTTTTTCATTTTTATTTTTTTATTTGTGTATTTGGTACAGGGTCTCACTTCGCAGCTCGGCCTCATAGTGATCCTCCTATCTCAGCCTCCCCAGTGCAGAAATTACAGGTGTGCACCACCATACCTGATTTCAGGGTAGCACAGAGCACCTGGGCTTCTGATGCTGGCAAGGCATGCAATAGCAGGGATCGAACTTGGGACTTTGTGCTTGCCAGACAGGCGCTTAGATGGCAGCACTATCTCCCTAGCCCATAGAGTAATGTTTTTATTAGGTATTGACAAAGACTACCTTTTGTAGCCTGCATACCTATTTCTTTATCTCTTCTTTCTATACATATATGTATTTAAAAGTAATTTAATTAGTGAATTAGAGGTATAAAATAGCTAGATAATTCTGAAATCTACTTTTGAAATTGCTTGAGCAACTGAGTTTGAAAACTTGATGCTATTACCAACTTTTCACATCCCCTTTCTGTGTGATTTTACTTTCTCGATCCCTGGACTCTTACCTGTTTCCTGTCCATTTACCTTCTCTGCTCTTTCTTTCCTGTCTTACTGGTTATAATATGAACTGTTATATAGTTTAAAATACTGGTCAGTAAATGTACTGTGTTATCCCAATTTTTAAGTTGGGAACAAGAAACCTTTAAACTATAGCTTCTTTTTTTAGCTCTCTAAAATGAACAAAATCCAGTTTTTTTAAACATAGTAGGTCTTTGGGTTGACATTTTTATGTCTTGCCAGACAAGTATGCTCTTAATAAATGTTTAGTTTTAAAAGCTTGAAAAACTTAGCATTTGAGGAAAGGCTTTAATTTCATTGCACTGAAATCTGTGTCTTCTCATGGTTTCTTCCTGATAATTTTTTTTTTTGATTGTATAGAGCAAATCTTCTTTTTGGGGGCAAGTGGGGGATACTGGGTTCATTCTTTGATAGCTATGAAGAAAGCTAGTCTGTTCCCCAAACTTAGCATATTCAGTTTTTCTCAGCTATCCTATAAATAGTATTCCACATATTTAGCTTTTGAAAAATTACAGAAACTAGTAACACACAATATCTTACCTTTCTTTTTCAGATTTAATTCAGGTAGCTTTTTTTACCTGTTCCTTTGACTTGGCAATTAGAGGTGTTAAATCCCCTTGGTGTGATGTTTTTGACACAGATGATGCAAAGGTATGTATTTGGCAATTTCTCTCACTTTTTTTTTCTTCTTTTTTGGGGGGTATTCATAGAGCTTTTATGAAGAAGAAATATAAACTATCTTCTAACACTTAATTTTTCTTAAATAAAGATAGGTTAGGGCCTGGGAGATAGCTCAGCAACATAAGCATCTGCCAGGCAAACTCAAGGTCCTGAGTTCAATCCCCAGTATGAAAAAAATGAAAAAGATATGTTAATGTTCAAGGAGGTCCTACCTACTTGTAAATAGTTTAGGTGCTTAAAACGCCAGAAAACATTTTTTAATAGTGATTTGATATCTGGATCTTCCCAGTTAAAAACCTATTTAACTCAACATCAACTTTTACTGCTGGAAGGATCATGGAGTCAGTATGATCTAAATTATTCTTTCTACAGGAAGCCAAAGCTCGAGAGAGTTAGTGACTTTCCAAAGGTCTCTGTCTTTTGTACAGATTTCAGGAGAAATTGAATTCTGTGTTCCTCTCTGCTTATCTCATTTCCCTTTACATCTGTCTTCATTCTTAGAGCTCTGGGTTTTTGAACTTTAGAAAGAAGATAGGCCCTGGGGAGTTACAGGGGTAGTCAGTTCTGGGGTATTGGGAACCAGAAATGTGGAGAAGAAACTATTATGTTCTTAAGTGTGGATCATGCAGATTATGAACTTCTGAAACCTTAGTTTTCCTTACACATAATTATATAATTGTCAGTATTTTATATGGAAACCATTTATTATTTTCAGAATTTCATCTTGTGTCTTGGAAAGTATACTCTTTAGCAGACAGAGCAGGCTTTTATGCTGAAGGCTGAAAGTGAACAAATGATTGTTTTTGTTATTTAGAACCTTATGTGATGAGCAACAAATCAGAGGTAATAACATGATCATTGTGCCAATGAGGGGCAGAAATTGGTAGGTAAGCTGGAAGAAGGTTAAAGATTATGCGGTGGCTTGTCGCTCTAGGAGCTGAGCCCCAGTGGTACACAAGTAGACTATTTCCCTCCCGTGCTCCTGCAGCACTCCTGATGACTCACTTTTTCTCTGTCCCAAGTACCTCGTACCTCTTCTCACTGTCCCAGCTTTATCACTTGAGAAACTTTTTGCCCTGCTGTGTTTTGATATGCCCTTTACTTTGGGTGGTTATGCAATTTGTCATCTAAACTGGGACACTTGAGAAAGGAGCACTATTAAATAATGATGCCAACATAGGCATAAACTGATCCTTATAGTCATCATTAATGTGTCAGTACTCCTTTTTTCCTATGCAAATTACTTGGAGAGGAGGGACATAATCAGAGTGGTTTTTAGTGTTTGATAAATGGTAGATATTGGCAAGAGAGGAATTTATCTAATAGACTGCTGCTCTGCTGATAGGAATAGTTAGGATGTGACTCACCTGGGTTCCTGCCATGTGTCCTTACATTGCTGAGTTCCTTGTGTTCCTTTACTTCAGAGATTAACAACTCCTTGGTAAAGTACAAGCTTCTTTCCCTGCAGTTAATGCACAGTACTGGAGATCAAACTCAGGACTTTGTGCTTGCCAGGCAGGTGCTTATACCACTGAGCTATTTCCTGGGCCCATAATGAGCATGTCTGAATCACCCTCTTCTGTTTTGTTCTTGCTTCCCTTTCCCTTACTTAAAGCCTTTTCTTTCAAATGTTTTATTTTTGTTTTGTATAAATTTTTCTTGCTCTTCCAATAGGTAGTTTGATATATAGTAAAATCCTGATGTCAAGAGATGGGCCAAAGTAAGATCTTTCTGTGCTTTGATTCTACATCTATTAAGTGATGAACTATTATGTGATTTAGGAACACCCCTATGACTCATACTGACCTTTCTTCTTTTTTAGAATTTTTTAAATCACTTTATTGCTTAAGCACACTTCCCACCAATTTGTTTTGAAAATTTTTAAACTAACAAGTTGTAAGAACAGTACATGCAGCGGCTAGGGCTTGATCCCCGGCGTGCCATGTCAGCCCTGGCGTGCTCTGAGATGGTGATTGAGACTGGGCATGGTGGCACGTGCCTGTAATCCCAGCTCTTGGGAGGCAGAGCACTATGAGTCCGATCTCTGTAGTGAGACCCTGTAGACCCTGTACTAAAAACCAAAAAAGAAAAACGAGTGTAGGAGTGTTTTTATGAAATGCTCACTTTTTTTGAACCCACTTGCATTATCTCTTTATAATATATTAGTTTCTCATTGCTGCTACAGCAAATTAGCACAAATCTGTGGCTCATCACAGCGTAAGTTTATCATCTTACAGTCCTGAAGATCAAAAGTCCACATTAATTGCAGGGTTCATCAAGATATCAACAGAGCTGTGCTCATTCAGAGACTGTAGGGAAAGTCTGTGTCTTGCCTTTCCATCCTGAGACTGCTGGTACTTTTTGCATGATTTCAGCCTCTGCTTTCATGGTTACATCTCTTAACTCTTACTGTCCTTTCTGCCTACATTTTATGAGGCAGAGCTCACCTAAATAGTCCAGGATAATCTCTCTATCTCACATTCCCTAAATTAATCACATTGGCAAGTGTTCTCTTACCATGTAAATTAGCATATTCATAGCTAAGGATTAAGATATGGATACTAGGGGGACTCTGGTTATTTTGTTTACCACCATGTATGATCTTTATTTCATGTATCAGGATATGTCTCCCTTAAATACTTGGTCATGCATCTAAACAAGAATATTCTACATAACCATAATATACTATACTTTATATGCATATATAGTATATACAGTATTCAGTTTTCTGTGTGTGTTTGAATAAATCTATCTTACTTTTCTTCTTTACAATTCAGGATTTAATCAAAGTTAAGCCCTGGTATTTGGTTATAATATCTGTCTAGTCTCCTTTAATCTGAGAAAGTGTTATAGCTTTTCTTTTGTTTTATACATTAGCATTACAGAAGAGTTTGCACCAGTTTTTGTTTATTTGTTTTGCAGCATGTCTTTGTATGTACCTTGTTTTGTTTTGTTTTGTTTTTTTACTTATGATTAGATTTAGAGTAAAAAAAAATAAAACTTTTGGGCAATGCTTGAGGTTGTCGCGTTGAGCTACATTGCCAATTTTGAGACAAGATCTCACTAAGTCTCTAAGTTGCTAAGGCTGGGCTTGAATTTGGCATCTTCCTGCCTCAGCCTCCTAGAATACTGGGTTTTCGGGCATTTGCTACTTTATAGGTATGTGCTACCACACCAGCTTCAGATTAAACTTTTTTTTTGGTGGGGGGGCAGAACCAGGGAATGAACTCAGGCCCTTGCACTTGCCAGGGAAGCGCTTATTCTACTGAGCTATCTCCCCAGATCCTCAGATTAAACATTTTGATAAGAGTTTCTCTTAAGTCCTTCTCAGCGCATCAAACCAGAAGAATAATATTGGTCACATTATTGATGATGAAATTTTTTATTTGATTAAGGAGTTACTTGCCAAATTTCTCTATTGTGGAGTTAACTTTCTTTGCTGTGAACGAAAGAATTGTTCAAATTACTATAACTTAAAAATGTGAAATACATTTTTATTATATTAATTAGGTAAGTGTCTATATACCAAAAAGAAATTAGAAATTAAATTTTCAAGTATGAAGATCTATTTTGATTAGGTATTTTCTATAATTATTATTTTCTTTTTTGAGTGATTTTATTTTTCTATCCCTCCTTAGGACTTACACTGTGTAATAGGTTTACATACCCAAGTATGTACGGTATGTATGTATGTATGCAAGTATGTATGTATGTAGGTTAAATTAAAATGATGTGTGGGATTTGTTTAAAAATAATTCAGTCGTAGGAGTATAGTTGAAACTGCATTGACCAAATATTGATTGCTGAAGTTGAATGATGGTTACTCATGGATTCATGTACTGGTCTACATTTTTT